AGTCAAGGAATCATTTCCGACCCCATAAACCATATATATTCTTGATCAGCATTAACATGCGAATCTTTCTAGACATGTCCGGAAGAAATCGATTTTTTGGCCATTTTTGCGAAATTTGATAAGGGGTTAAATTAAAATTTGCAAAAATGACCAAAAATTTTGATTTCTTAAAATTTTAAATGTGGTATGCAGTTTTTTTTAATTAATAAAAACTAACACAAAACTGCTTTCCGAATCGAAATTAATGCATTTTTGGCTTAGTTATGATATATTTTAATTGTTACCTGCAAGGGTATACAAAGTTAGCTTTCTTTCTTGTTTTATGTTTCTTTCTTAATATACAATTAATTATTAATGTATTGGCAAACTTTGACATTATATTTCAATACCCTCTTGAAACAAAGGGTATTGAAAAGCCAGACGACGACCAACCAGGCGAAGAGCTGCGTCTGCCTGTAAAAGTACAACATCTTCTTGTAGCAGCGCCTAAATGATTGATAAAATAATTGCTTGCACGTGATGCCACAGAGAGAAAAGGAGAGAGGGGTCTGGGGCATCAGAGAAGCAGGGAACCGGAGAATTGGAGAAGTGAAAAGAGAAAGGCCTTACCTCACGCAATTCCTAAGGCTACAAGACCAAGTGTCAACACACTGCCTGGGAATCCCAGGAACCTCCCAAAACAAATGAAAAAACGAAGCCCCGAAAACTAGAAAGGAAGTTCCGAAGATTAAAATACTCTATCTGGTGAATAATCATAATAGTAAATACTTTACTTTACTTTCAAAACAAAGTCACTATTCCAGAAGCTTTTATAGGGAAATCTCAGGAAAGCTGAAAATATTAGCAAAAAGTATACAATATCATAAATAAAGTTTGATCTCTTCACATTATAAGAAGTCTTGGAAATCCCCACACACTTTCCAAATACATGAATGAAATTAAATCTTATTGTTTTCATAAATGGTAAATAGGGTGCTTTTGGAGTCAATTCCACACAAAATTAATATAATGACATAAGAACAAGGCATTTAGGGAACAAAAACCCTTTAAAGACATCAGAGACATATAGTATTTCTATTTTTTAAATCATAAAAAAATACAAATTCACAAAAACTAGTACCCAGCCCCGTCAATCAAGGATAGAACATTAATGCCCTCTAAAGCATAGCAATCCAAATTCAAGATTCGGTTCAAATACACCGAAAAAAGCATGGCAAATCTAACGAATTATAACGTGGGAAACTAACCGAGAGAGACGGAAAGTGACTGAGAGAGAGAGGGCACAAATTGCCGCAGTTAACGGTTCCTGTTTCATTGCAAATTTGGCGGCTGAGCGGCCAGAAAACAGAAACAGAAAAGCGGAAAATCCCGAGCCGAACGATGCAAAGAAATACAGAAACAGAAACCGAAAGACAAGCGCCTGAATGAAGCTTCCAAAAGGCAACATCGAACGAGCGACACTAACGGTACAGTGGTGCAAGGATACAAGAAAATTGTAAAAATATTTCAAAGAAAATTAATGGCTTTTATATCCATCAGTTTTCTTTAAAATGTGTTTGTAAACCTTAATGCTACTCTAAAATAAGGCAAACTTACTTATCACTAACTCCAGATTCAATTATTTTTCCAACAATTCAACTTGAGAATTATAAGAATTCCAAGGGATAAGTTTATAGATTTTATTTAGTAATTACGTTTCACTACCTTTTTATACCCTCCCCATTAAGCTTTCTATACCTCTTGCTTCCAATTAAATGAAATTAACTCTGTCCTACCAAAATCCTTTGATTTTTAAAAACAATTTCTTGACCCACGGTGCCTTTGCATCTTTGGCAATGCCAAAACGACTGCTCCACGACAAGTGGCCCCCCGCACGGATCTCTGCCCGCCCACTCGTGCGCCACATTATTTCATGCAAAATCATGCCATGGGAACCACGACAACCGACCGAGCGATGCTCCGCAAGCAGTCATCCTACCGTCCTCCCATCACCGCCCTAATCCCCCCCGGACTCCATCGGACGAGGCAGCAAGCAGTCTAGAACTATTACCCCAGTCCCTGGCCATGGGACAGCATCCGACTGCAACTAATGCACAATCATCGCAGATTATTTCATTTAATGTCAATACAAAACCAGCAAGAAGCCATCGCAGGCAGCCTCCGCTGCAGTTCCTCCTTTTCTGGGTTTATGCACCGTGAAAAAATATGATCAACTAAATATATAAAAAAAATTAAAAATAATACAACATGTTTAACAAAGAAAAAGTCTTAAATAGGACATTTTTGGGATAAAGAGAACAGTGTGAATATATCTTTAAGATCAAGGTAAAAATTGCAATATTTCCCAGATATTTCTCAGATTTCTCTATTATTTATAGCTTTGATTATCTAGGTAGAATTTCTTTCCATGTACCTTCAGCTCCGTTTCCTTTTCGGTTTGCGACTATAGTTTGCCCTGGGACCCGGGATCCTGGCGTGCATCGAAAGCTGAAAGTTTGACACTCCAATTCTCAATGCCGCTGGGCAAACAAATTGAGTGTAGAGCGCAACGGGGGGGCTGCTGAGGCGTTTTGCCCGTTAGTGTTTTGCAAACGAGTTTAAACTGCTGTTGACTTTTGAAAAGTTTAAGGGCCCGGGTTAGCATCGAGCTGGGAGCATCGAGACTCGCCGACGAAGGCGATCCCATAGCCAGTTCCAACTCCTCCATTTGACCTTGCAAAATCGATGTTCAATGTTCGATTTCGGCACATTTTCGTTGGATTCGCTTTATTTATGGCCCGGTCGTTCGATATTTATTTGTGGCTGTCTCTATGCCCAAACCGATCGCATCCGTCATGCGCCTTTTCAATGATATTTGAAGTGTGCAATCAATTTTGGTTTCTGCGGTTGGAAAACACAACACAACAACGCTTTGCATATCGGGGGAACGATTGAGATTTACCGAGTGACAGAAGATGGGGAATTTGCTATAGCGGAAGTTATTGAAAGTGAGGTTTAAAGGGGAGCAAGTATATATAATTGATAATTGGTTTATTAAGGTGGAATTTATAAAGTATCCTTTGATATAAAAGCTGTCTATATGGTGGTGAATTAATTTAAGACAAGTTTTGAAAAAGACTTGAATAAATAAATAGAAGCAGATCCTAGAAAGGTAATTTTTAACTTTGAGTTTTACTTGTTTTTCTTAACTTATAATCTTTAAGGAAAACAATCAATTTTAACCGCAATTAAATATGAGATATTAAATAAATATAGAAAACCATTAAAGTCTCATCCATTGTTTCCAAACCCCCATTAGGAGCTACTACTTACACCTCTTTCAGCCTATGCTTAATAAAGGCTTTGTGGGTAACCCAAGATCCCATCGGAGGACTCCCATTTCCAGCCATTTCCCACAGTTGGCCATAAAGTATTCATAAAATGTAACCCGGCTCCCAGCTAGCAGCTCCCTGCTGCCAGCTATCTTCCTTTGGCCATCAATTGAGCTAACAACCACCCACCGAAGCTAACTGCTCTGGGGACTAACAAGCCAAGTAAAATATAAACCGAGCTGATATCGGGGCAATCTTTTAAATTAATTTGTTGTCACCAGTTTGTTGAAATAATCTGGCGAGCAAAACAAATGTTAGCTCCAATCGAAGCCAGGTGGGTGGGCACCACCACCAGCAGCCTCGCCAGCTCCACCAACAACGACCGGAGGCAGCGACACATGCCGGAGCTCACAGCTCGGACCCAAAACTGCCCAACCCCAAAATTGTTCACCTGTCAAATCAGCGAGCTGCGATCTTTTATTGGTGGCAAGAGGCGAGCGCCAATTGTTGCTGGCCGCAGTAAGCTGCCACTGCAACAACAGCGGTAGGGGCAGCCGGAGCAGATTTATTTATTTAAGCGAGAGCCAAGCTGCGGTGCACCCAATTTCAAATGGTGCTGGCTAACCCAGACATGCACAGTGAGAAATTGAGGGGAAAACTATCGAAATAAAATAGTTTAATTAAAGAGATATTTTTGTTGTAAATACTATCAAGGCGGGAATACAAAGTAGAGAAGAACAGTAGGAGATATTAGAGATATTACATTGATTATATAATATTCTAAATTACATTTAATATTCTTTAATTAAACACTTTGACAGGTCTTTGAATCTTATGAAATCCAACTTATTTTGACTACAACTATATGTATATATAACAGCTTCAACTTTCAATATTTAAGATATATATTTTGACATAAGACAAGTAGTATTTCCGAACTCTTAATAAACAAATCTATTAAACTAAGATTTATTTTCTTTTATAAATTATTCTTACTGTAAATTGGTCTGTCGATAACATATATGTTTAATATATATTAACCAATTACCTAAATGATTCACTTAGTCACTGCCACATCAGATTTTCCACGGGCCCCTGGGGGCCAGTAACGTTTAAAGTGGAAAATCGTGTGCCATAATTAAAGCAAGTGTTTCCGAAAATTGTTTACGGATAGGATCGATTTGACATGGGGTGGTCCAGGCTATGGCGGCTAATGGTAATAGTTTATAGTAATTTCTCGCAGTGCTTGGCAACAAATGGAGCCGCTGCCTGAGTGGCTGGCCTCGTAAAGACTTAATTAAAGCGCTTGGACCCGAACCCGAATCCGAATCCAATTCCGAATCCGCATCGAATCCCGCTCCGTCTTGCTTTGGTTTTGGGTTGGTGCTGGGACTGGGGGATTGTGTTGTTGGCCGTTGGCCGAGCGATAAATTCATGCCGCTAATTTGGCAGCGTTAACTCAATTTGTGACCACAAAATGCACAATTTGTCGCTGATTTTGATTGCCCATTGGCTTGAAATTGGCCTGCCTGTGGTGTGTGTGTGTGTGAGAGAGTGTGTTGTATATTGGCCACGCCCCGAATGCTCACCCAATGTGAGCCACCTTTTGTCTGTGGCTTTTTTTATTGTCTAATTATAGAGTGCCGCTGCCACAGTCTGAAGTCGGTGGTAACTCGGCTGGAGTCTCACTACCCTGCTCCTGCTCGAGCTGGAGCTTCCAGCCAGCAGCTCCACCTCCATTTCCATCCGGAGTCGTACCCACAGCCATCGTCATCATCTCACGAGTGCATCCAACCGCATTCGGCTTTATCGGGCCTCGCAAATCTCTTCTCCTCACACAATTGACTGTCGGCTCTTTTCTTGGCTACGATGCTTCCAGCTCTGAGCTCCCAGCTTCGAGCTCCTCCAACTTCACGGGGTCCAGTGGGGTTGGTCTATAAAAAGATTTTCCCATAGCTTTGCCGCTTCATATTTTAAACTGATAAAAGTGTGAAGTGGCTGGAAAATGTGGTTCAGCTTTATGCATAAAGCGCGGCAGCCTTATAAGGCTCGCTCTCTTCTTGCGAAGTCAACTCTAAACTGCTAACGGACTGGGCACGCACTCCGTGGCACTGGCTAACATCTGCAGATACAACTCTTGGACTAGGAGTCAGACTCGATCCGATCCACTAACTGCCTCATAAATCTCGGCAATTAATTTCTTAAAGTGCAACACACTCGGCACTCCAGCGGAGAGAGAGAGACTCCTAGCCGTGACAACTGTCACCAGCTACACACGTTAAGTAAATAAAAATTTGCTCACATTTGTTTTTCCAGCTTTTTGCGTAATTTGCGCAGGAATTTATCACTCGCTTCGCCTTCCTGCAGATTTGCAAGATGATTTAGGGCAAACCACTTCTTACGCAATGGGTTTTCGGAGGGGAAAACTGGCTGGAAGTGTGCTTAATGAGAGGGAAATTAATTGGGGGATTGCTCGGTGATTGGTAGGAAAGTCAAGGGATTAGCTTTGGGCATTGGAATGCTAGAATGAAACATTAGGAGTACTTTAAGAGTATCGAACTAGCGATTCTTTATTAATTCATGTAATCAAGGAAGGATACAAAATTAACTTGTAATAATCCATTTGTATCCTACGCCTTCACACTATTAATTATCTTCCCTAAATCCTATTTACTTTTACTTTCGTTAACCATATCACTGATATTTCTCACACTGATTTCACAATCGAATCCATCAACCGAATTTATATGGTGTTTGTGGCTAAGATTGCTTCATTAGGATTACTCCATTCGCCAGCCTTAATTTCCTTGTACGATCTCTCTCAGCTCACACACATTCAAATCGTTAGGCCGAAATGTGCACAATTTTATTTTGCCAATAATTTGCGAAAAAATATTTTCACGAACGTGGGAAAACCGCCGCCGACGACGACGACGACGACGCGACGTCTGCTGTCTGCTGTCCGTGTTGTAATGGTGGTCGTCGTCGTCGTCGCCGCCACCGCCGCTGGTCTCCTCACCTCACCGGTGGCCACCAGTCGATCCCTGATCGGGACCAACCGATCAACAGCAGCAATCCATGTCAAACTGAAAATTCAACAGAATTCGAGCGAAGTTGCAGTCGCAGTCAGCTGAGCAACAGCCAACCAATTATTTTTATCGATTTGGTTGCAAACGCAGACGCAGGCTTTTCATAATCAAATGTGTGTGTTTTTCCTGTGCGGCATCAATGCTCAGGTTACTACAGCTCCCAGTTCCAAACCCAATCCCAATCCCAGTTCCAATTCGAATCCCCATCCGAATCCGCATCCAAGCCAGAGTCTGGGTCTTGTGGACATGTGGCAGGCGCAAATGTGCGACTTGTTGTACAATTTCAAATTGAATTAAATGATTGAATGCATGAATGACTGACGCTGGCAACTGGCAACTGGCAGACAGTGCAGACAGAAGACTCAGGCAACGAACGCAGATTGAGCTCAGAATGGCACTGAGAGGAAAATAAAGTAGGAAGTTATGGTAAGGGTTAATTAATTATTTAAAAATGTAGTAAAAGTCTTTAGATCCTTGATTCTTGGAAAAATATTAAGACTGCAGGTACATTTCCCCACACATAGACCCTCAACCAAGTTATTTAATATATATAATTCCCATTCCTACCCACCCATTTCTCGCTGTGCAAAAAACCCTCTTAGTCAGGTCTCTCCTTTGGCTTGCCCGGCGAGTGTTGAAAATCCTTTCAATAAATAGCTAAAGACAAGTAGCCGTTAAAACGCATTCAGCTGATTCTGGTTGTCGCCGGTTGTTTGGGAAGTTGTTGCTGCGAGAGGCCAAGAGTGTTTGATGGTGGCTTTTTGGCCATTTGATTCATGATGCTGCTGGTCCGAGAGCTCGAGAGTGTCTGTCTTGGCAGTGCACAGAGCTCAGTGCTCCGTGTGGCATGTTTCGTTTGTTGCGTTTTTGATCGCAATTTGACAATGCGAACAAACACAACAGCGACGGCAACAGCAACAGCAACCAAATCAGCAGCAGCAACAGCAACCACATCATCAGGAATTGAAACTACAGACGGACAACGCTAAAATGAACATGCGCCCGCTTGTCATTTAACATTTTTATGATTTCCAACATGCAAAGGCAATAACATTGTGGCCAGAAAACATCGATGGGGAAAATGGGAGGAAAAGAGGATAAGCGGGGGGGCCTTAACAAGAAGGAAAAACGGGGCGGAGAAGGGGGAGGTACTGCTGCTGCTCCAACTGCGAATGGGATGGATTTGGGAAAATTGGTCTTCAGTTTAGATTTGGCTTTTATGGCTTAATTGAAATGGCCAACTAATGAATGGGAATGGCCAAAAGGAAGGCATTTGCAATGCCAAATGGAGATTGCCAGCATTTACATACATAGCTCCTTTGGCCTGCCATTGCTACCATTGCCACAAATCCCCCCCAGAGACAGGGACACAGACAGAGACAGAGACATACGGACAGAGAGAAGTATGTACATGTTGGCCAGGAATTTGAATGGAACCAGTTGATGGCCCCCGACAGGACAGGAAATTGATTTAGGATTCCATTCTGCCCCTCCCAGCTGTATGCTTTTTATGTCCCATTACCATTAACGTGCACATTAAACGATACATCAATGTAATTGGATTATAATTGTGGCTAGGTTACGTTTAGTTAATTGCCTTCATATTTTCTCTTAGTTTTTTAACTATCCCGTTAAATGATGGCTTTGAGTTTTCATTGCGGAGGAGGGAGCAAAGACAATTTTATATATTTTATAAATACTTATATTTCCCATTTTGTTGTTTGTTTTTTTAAGAACCAGAAAAACTCTAAGCTATCATAAATTATTGTTAAACGCAGGCTGTAGTTTAAGGAAAATAATAAATCCAGTATTACCTTCCAAAGTAAATGCCCTAAATCCTAATAATTATATAATTTGATTAAAATATAGAAAGAAAATACTTTATTTCCCCCCAAACACAATGACAAAACTAACTGAAATCACTTCTCGGAAACCGATCGAAGACCAAATTTTCACCACTTCCGATGACAATCGTTAAAGTTGCTCTTGACAAGATCGATGCATGAAATGCCCGTACAATTTTCTTGCTTTATATATTCATTCCATTGTTGGTCGTGAAAAAGTTCCCCCGAAATATCGAAAAGCGATCAAAATTACTGCCAACCCAGACAGCCAGCGAGACAGACTGTGAGAGAAGATGGGGCGATCCGATCGAATTATAAACTAAACCAATCCGACCTGAACCGGGGCTGGATCCATTGATGTGATGCCCTGCACCGAGTCAATCTTCCAGTGCCACAAGAAGACGATAAACAAAAACAAAAAGCAGGCTGGCAGGGCAGCGGCAGCTAGAAAAAATAGAACGTGAGAAATAATATTCGATGAAGCGCCAAAGTAAACGCTTCGAAAAGTTGTTAGTTTATTCCTCTTGTTGCTGCCCGTCTGCAGCCCATTTTGCGCCTTGTACACGCTACCTTTCTGAAGGTTGATTGTGAAAGTCACGATTAAAGCAAAGTCACACTCCCCGAATCGAATGACGAACTGCGACCGAGGGCCGCCTCGCTCTCCGGCCTGTAGATATAGTATATACATTCGGTTTGGATTTCTCGCTGTTCATCCAGAATTTAGCAATTCGACTGGCGGATTTTTCTCGCTTTTCTTTCATTTTCTGTCTTTAGTTTTTTGGTGACAAATTGGCAAATTGGGGAGTCAAATCTGCGGTGGATTGCGCGTGTCATTAAAACGCCGACGAATCGTTTGAAATACACCGACTGCATTCAGTGAATGAATGCAAGTCTACTTGTGGTTTTTAAGGGATCATTTCAAAGTGTTAAGAGGGGGGATTTCACAGGGGCAAAGGAGGAGGCAGAACACACCTTCGCCTGGCGAATTGCGAAATTGTCGCCGCTTGGGAGACACACCCCGCCGTCGGTTAGAAGGGAAAAGAGCCAAGACGGAGACGAACCAAACCCGGAGCTGCTCTAAGCATTTCTGTCACATTTATTATAATCTTATACCCTTTACTAAAACGAGGGAATAACTATTTGAATTTGGAAGGAACTTACTAAATTGTATAAGTTTTGGGGGTAAACTTATGGCAAGAAAAATATTAAATATATTCTAAAATAACAAGATCTAATAATTATTTTATATAATTTTTATTTTATTTAATAATAAGACAAAAATAAAAGAACTTATCATTTCCTTATTCTTTGGTTAATATTTTGAGTAACAACAAGAGTATTTCCCATTTCTGTTTACCCAAACCTTTCGGATTTTCCCACTTAATATTTCTTTCTAAATCACTTGAAGCTAGCTTCCAATTGCAGACTCCGATAGAGTGAGGGGAATGGGAACCTCTTGCCGACTGCCACAGCTGAGTGAGTGGCTTGCCACATTCTACACCTACACTTCCATTGACATTCGTACACAGAGAACAAATAGGGAAAACTACATAACTATATTATAATAATTTTACGATTCAACCAGGATTTATAAACATGGAAATAATATTTTTTCGGCTAATAATTAATTGATTTAAAAATATAGATTAATATAAGATTTTTTAATAGTTTTCTCCCTGTGCCCCCAACTGGATGCTCCCACATGCCTCTGCCGGCTGCTATTGCTCTTGTCGCATATCAGTTACAAAACGCAGAAGAGCGATCCACACCCAAATGGCAACAACACGGCACAGTCAACACCCAAGGCACACCAGGCACAACAACAGCCAAGAAAC